CCCAAAAAAATGTTTCCACGCATGGTGGGTGCTTACCAGATTTCAACAAAATATCAAAAGCAGTAGGTATCAATGAATTTAAGGAAAAAATTTAACCAACCACTCAATGGTTTTTATTTTTTTTACGCGAAAACGGTGCATCGTACGAAAGTAAGTCTATGAGCCAAGTTTGCTCCAAAATAAATGATGATTTAAAAAATAATTTGTTTTCAGAAAAAGCAGTGGCGTACCATTTTTTTCTTCAAAAATATTCAGTTTAAACCCCGTACGGACGTCACTGGTAAAAATTTAAGAAAATCTTATACGTCAAAAAATACTCCTTAATTATTAAAACGTGTGTACAAAATTTCATAGAAATATCTGGAGTGATAAAAAAATTATGATAAAAAAGTAATTTTTTTCTAAAAACTGTAACACCCTGTAGCTCAAAAATAAAGTGAGTTACGACCTATGTTGATATTAACTTTTCTTCTTAAAATCACCTAAGGATTCACACCCTTAAGTATCGGCACTCAATTAATAAACACCCTGTATAACCCCAATATCACAATATTAAATCTTTTTTTTTTTTTAGATTGAGATTTCATTAATATCAATAGTCCTTTATTTCATTATATCAATGATTGTGAGTCATTCCGTGTCTTTAAAAAAGCAGCCGTAATAAATTTTATATCCTTTCTAATAAAATCAAATATGGGTAGGCATTGTTTTTTCATTTTAGTTTATTTCAAAGAAGGAAACCGATATCAAATAAATACATGAATATCTACCTAGACCTATTTATTATTTTAACCTTTGTTTATATTCAATGATTACTTTTTAATAGTGCTAAACAACATCTGTTGTTATTATTCTAGACCTAGACTTTTTCTCTTTATTTACGAGCAACAGTTATATTTTTATTTTAAATTGGGTTTCTTGTAAATTTAGACATTGTATTAAAAATACAAGAAATTTTTTGCAAATTAAAAAATAACCTTTTTTTAAATGTCTTAAAAAATAAGAAGATTCACTGGGTAGCGACGCAAACCTGAAATACTAAAATCGCACTAATATCTTTATTTTAAGTTTTTTGACCTCGCAACGTAGGTACTTCTTATTGATGATGATATGACTTATGTGCAATGCATGAATGGTCACCAACGATTACTTTAAATTGATAGGCAATTTATTAGTGCTATTATTTCCACCACGAAATAAAAAAATATATATTTGTGGATGTAACGTGTACAATTACTACACTTACGCTTTTGGGTTTTATATATTATGTAGGTATGTCTTCAAATAATTTTTTTACCGAAGAAACAAGAATTATTGTTTGTTATTGTAAGAAAATTAAATAAAAAGTTTCAATATACCATTTCTGCGACAACCGTCTTTAATCTTCCTAGCCACGAAGACAAAAAATGGCAACGTTGCGATGAGGGCTATTATTTCTTCCTTTGGCCCAAATAGGTATGTCAGATGAAAAAAATTAAGAGGTAATTATAAACGCTGTTGCTAGATACACGCTAAAGTGTACACAAATCAAAAAATTATATACACGCGAAACGTCATATTGCTCTGGTGGGAGGTGTTTGTGTGAATGCGTCTTGTTTGTTTTCATTTACGCCGTGACTGGCAGTAGTATTTTATAAACCTTAGAACCAAATTTCACATACATGAACAAATAATAATAATAATGCCGTGACAACAAGAAAACGAAGCAACGACTTTTCGTACGAACTATGTCAAAATAGCTATTTGTGTAATAAGAGCAGAAAGGAGTACTTTTGCATTCGAGACAATCTGTCGAGACTGCCAGAAGGACTTTCTGCTTTGAATTGCACACAATATTTTTTCTGCGATCACACCAAAATAAAATCAGTATCGCTTCCATTCATAATTTTTCTGACTTTGACAGTATAATGAAATATTAAATCAATTAATTGTGGAGCACACAAAATTTCAGTCACAATACACTAATTAGGCATTCCAAACAAATGAATTACCAGTGGGCAGGTTTGGTATATCTAAGGGTAGCGACATATGGTGTATTCTATCTACTTTACGTAAAATCATGAATAATGGATTACATTTAAATATTTTATGTCAAACACAATAAAAATAATATTTAAAAAACCTACCTATACATTTCTTCGTACATTTCAGGCTTGGCGACTACTACTTCGAATAAAAATAGCGTCCAAGTTGCAAGACTATGTCGCTACCCCCCTTAGATATACAAGAATTTCCCACTGGCACATATGTTTGACAGGTCGTTGGAATGCCTAATTAGGCATTCCAAACAAATGAATTACCAGTGGGCAGGTTTGGTATATCTAAGGGTGGCGACATATGATGTATTCTATCTACTTTACATAAAATCATGAATAATGGGTTACATTTAAATATTTTATGTCAAACACAATAAAAATAATATTTAAAAAACCCATCTATACATTTCTTCATAAATTGGCAGGCTTAGCGAGTACTACTTCGAATAAAAATAGCGTCCAAGTTGCAAGACTATGTCGCTACCCCCCTTAAACATACAAGAATTTCCCACTGGCACCTATTGTTTGACAGGTCGTTGGAATGCCTAATTGCTGCTTTCTTTGACATCGACCTACTTGATTCCTAAATTGTTTGTATGTTGCGTTGCCTATCTATTACTATGTATGAGTATAGAGGTTACGTACTATTATTTAATATTAGTACTTATATATCGGTAATTATTTATGATTTAATCATTTGATTATTTACGGAAAATACTGTTGGATGATTTAAAATATTAGGAAGTCAATTAAAATAATTATTTAGGATATAGTGTGTTAAAATAACTACTAGCTCTATTTTATTTAATTAATTAAAACTTTGTAGTTACTTTTCAAAGCAGAAAAGCCTAGGTACTTTCGATAGTGATCTAGACAAATTCATTTATATCAAAGCTTTTATTATCGCAAAAATTTCTTTTTTTTATGCACTGTTCTTTGAGTTTGATTTTTTCAGAAACTGATGAACCGCTGTTAAAATAAAAAGTTCCTTATTCGGTGAAATAGTTTTTATTTTTCATGATGCCATATGTTTAAATAGCAAGATGGGCCTCAATTCATTCAAAACGTAATTTTATAGAGAATTCAGTAATATGATTTATTCTCTAACGGGATAATAAAACTGTTACTCATTATAAAATGTGTCACTTCATTTGAACGCTAATTTTATTAGTAATTCAATGCATTGTATTATTATTAACTTCATTTTGTTACAAGTGCAATATAGAGAGATTTAAGTTAATTTTGTGAGGCGCATTGAATTACTAACAAAATTTGCTTTTAAATGAAATGTCACACTTTACAATACAATACAAAAAACAAAAGTAAAGCAATGAACACTATTGCTGAATTCTCCATAAAATTACCTTTTTAATGAAGTGTTATACGACCCATTTTGCATTATGAAAATAAATTGAGTGAGTTTTTATACCATAAAACGACGTGCTTCGGGATTTTTTATAAATATGCACAATAATTGAAATATTCTATTACATTTGACTGTTCCACACTGTGTGCATTAGTCAATTATAAATAATGATAACGGGAATTCCCTGTAATTTTAAACGCATGTAAAAAACATTAAACATAAGGGAAGGGGATTCTCTTAAATCGTAATGTATTGCGAAATGTTTACATATCCCAATTAAACCTCTTAATTGATCGCAAAAAAAATCTAAAAACGAAATACTTTAAATGCGTTTCGGGACCTTGAAATTGGACCAGATCTCTCTTATTTTTAAGTGCTTTTTAAATCGATCGATCTGTTCAGCATCATGTTTTATTAAACGACCGCCGTTTTTTTTTGTAAGTGCAAATTTCAAAAGTACCGCATTGTGAGAACTTTTCAAAGTCACATAATATTATTTTGAAAGGCGGTCATATATGTGTCACACAAAGGTTATTGGGAATGTATACTTACTTTACATGATAATACGGCCTCTATTGAATTCTTTACAATTACAGTGCAATTATTATTCTTAACAAAATGTAGTTAAATATTTGAATTTCGAGTACATAATTATATATGTGTTCTATTTATTCTTTACTACGTATATTTTTTAGCACATAATAAAAGTGGCACTGGCTTGACAGCGAAAAAAAAAGTTGTTTAATTTGTTTTTATGTTTTCCCACATATCTAATTTTTCTTCAAGTTCTTGGTAGTAACAATTTTGTTTTAATGTTTATTTATTTATATATTTACGGGCAAGCCCATTTAGGTAACAATAAGTTGATAAAAATTACATTGGTGTATTTTGAATGTTGTGCTTAAATCTATTTACAGAGGAATCAAATAATATAATATTATCCAGAGAATTTGCCAGTCTAAGTATCCGAGGAATACAACTGTTAAAAGTACTATTAAGTCTATAAAAAGGAATATAAAATAATTGTGATTGCCTGGTATTACGAGTAGGAACAAAAAGAATATTAAAAAGTAAAATCAGGTCTCTATGTTTTCTCCTGGTTTCCAGAGACGGTATTTCTAAAAACTGCTCCATTGTAGCATAATCATAAAACGTTTGTAATTTAAAGGCTATGTACCTAAGGAAATTGTTCTGAACACGATCGATTTTTAATTTATACGTTACATGATGTGGGGACCATATTGAAGAGCAATAGTCGAGGTGACTCCTAACTAAAGTACAATAAAAAGTTTTAATAGCAGTTATATCAGTGAAATCGCGGATCGTTCTTTTAATAAATCCTAACATTTTCATAGATTTACTTGTAACTGAAGAGATATGGTGGTTAAAGCTAAGGGTTGTGTCGAAAATAACTCTAAGATCTTTAATTTGTTTAACACTATCTAAAAGTTGGCCATAGATTGTGCAGTCAAATATAGTGGGCTGTTGAGAATGATGGAACCTAATTGTAAATAAAAAAAAAAACAATATTAGCAAATTTATAATTTAATGCATATTATATGATTAATTTTTATTTTAAAACTTTTCCTTCTTTCCAGGCGGAGTTGATTCATATGCGAGCCGAACTCACGGAATCGAAATCAAAAAGAGAAGTATTGGAAACCGAACTTCACCATTTGCTGCTTCAGCTACATTCCTCGCAGCTTTCTAGACTACCGGACACTCTAGGAAACAAAAGGCTCGACCAGTATATAAAACCGGAAATCAATGTGATAAAGCAAAAGTTAGAGGCTGAAATTAGACAAAGTCCCCTTCGTGGAGGTAAGAATAAAACATTCTGTAAATATTCTGTAAAGATATTGTGTATAGTATTAATAAATAAGATAAAATGTTTATAAATTACAAAAAAAAATCCGTTAAATTTAGAATTAAAAAAACAAATATATAATTTATAGAAATTACTTCAATAAACTAATTAAAGACACAAAAATTACGTACTATAAAAATAAAATATTAAGTAATTTTAAGAGTTCGAGTGCCTTATGGAAAACAGTAAAAGAGATAAGTGGTAATAAAAATTGTTGTCAATTGAAAACAAAAATCGACTTACGTCTAATGTTTATGAAATTGCAAATCTATTTTATAATCATTATTCATCTGTTGACAGATCATATGGCAATAAAATCTCAAAACTACAAATTATCCCTTTACCAACCATTAAAAATAGTAACACAATCTTTATCAAACCTGCAACAACAGAAAAATAAATATTAGATTGCATAAATAACTTAAAATCTAAAAAATTTCCAGGTGATGATAAAATCACAAGTGAAACTTTAAAAGAAACTAAAGAATATATTGTTAAACCACTAACACATTTAATAAATAATGTTTTATGTAAAGGACATCTTCGGGCTATATTTACAACAGGCATAGTTAATCCCATCTATAAATCTGGAGATAAACAATTGGTAATTAATTATCGACCTATTAGTCTTCGCTAAGGTAATTGAAAAATCTGATGTGTCCAACACATGACTTTCCTATCTAGTTATTATAGGCTTTTTACGGTTATTTTGTACAACCTATTGCAGCACCTCTATAAATATTTAGAGGATAAACTAAATATATACATTTTCCACATACATCTACCTCGAAACATTTTTGTTTAGATATTCATTGGAAACGAAAATACTGAAAAATTTAAATTTACCACTCTTCCTCCAATTTTTCCATTACGGTCCATTTTAGAAAAATCATATATGAACAAAAATTATAGAGACCATTATCGCAAACAACTTTTAGTTCAACAATTTTCATAAAAATCAGAATTTTGCACATTTTGTCAAATTTCTCGAATACGGACCATTTCAGGAAATTTTGACATAAAGCAAAAATTATAGATAATAATATTAGAAGTAACTTTTATTTGAACAATTTTCTTCTACAAACATAAATAACAGACATATTACATAAAATATAAAAACGGCCTCCCATAAAGTACCCCCCAGATGTTCCGACTTTGTCCAAAATCTTATCATTTCACGTCAGGCCGAAATAAAATTTAATTTTAAAATTTAATGTTTTTTTCTTTATCCGTTTTTGAGTTTTCTTCAAAATTCGAAATTTACACATTTTCTTAAATATCTCGAATACGGTCCATTTTAGAGAAATTATGTATGGAATAAAAATTATAGAGAATTATATTACAAACAACTTTTATTTCAACAATTTTTATAAAAAAATATTTTTTTTCATTTTGTCAAATTTCTCGAATACGGACCATTTTAGGAAAATTTTGTATAAAACAAAAATTATAGATAATAAGATTAGATGTAACTTTTATTTAAAGAATTTTCCTCTCCAAACGTAAATAACAGATATATTCCATAAAATATAAAAGTGACCACCCATAAAGTACCCCCCAGATGTTCCGACTCTGCCCAAAAACTAATTAGTTCATTGGACGATGGAATAAAGCTTAAGTTTAAAATTTGGTGTTTTTCTGTGTATCGGTTCATGAGTTATGGTGGATACAGACACACACACACACACAGACATCATCGCGAAAATAGTCAAAACGGATTCAGGGGACCTCAAAACGTAAAAATCCGTCGAAAATTCGAGGTCGAAAAAAATCATGATTCCCATACTTTCCTTATATCTGTATACAGATAGGAAAGTAAAAAACAAAAACAGAATAATAGAGTTTCTATCGAAACATAAATTATTATCGGAAAATCAGTTCGGTTTCAGAGAAGGCAAATGTACCACAGATGCTCTAAAAGTTCTAACGTCGAAAATCCGCTTGGGTCTAGAAAAAGGAAAGGCAAGTATGGGAGTATTTTTGGATCTTGCGAAAGCCTTTGGTACTGTGGATCACAAGCAGTTGCTAGAAACTTTGTTTGATTACGGCTTTAGTGGTGTATCTTATAATTTGTTAAAAAACCTATTTAAGCAGTAGGGAACAACATGTTAAAATTAATAATACTCTCAGTAATAAAACAATAATTAAGTACGGTGTACCACAGGGAACTGTATTGGGTCCAGTACTCTTTACAATTTATCTAAATGACATCTTACATCATTATTATTATTAAATTATATATTTCACATACATACTTTATTTCAGCACTTAAAGATGCAGATGAACTAAAATTTAGCCCATCGCTATTAGAACCAGCACAATATAAAGCTAACATCGTACAGTTACAATCGGAAAATTCCGCCTTGAGAAATGAACTGCTTGCCCTTACAAGCGAAGTTTATGGCGCTAAATTGGCCGCTAAATACCTGGATAAGGAACTTGCTGGAAGGATACAGCAGTTACAACTACTAGGTATATTTTAATAATTTTCTTCTGATTTGTTTTATTTTCTTTTTTTATTATTATTAGGTAGGGAAATGAGAGGAGATGTACGTGATAAACTATGGAGGCAACTGGAGTCTGAAATTCTGTTACAACGGCACAAAACTGTGGTGCGAGCTTGTAGAAGAAACAGCGCTTTAAATGGTACAAACAAATGTTCTAAACCTGAAACGGAATCAAATCCGGAAGCGACTGAACATTTCGGCGATATAAGAAGTGTCTTAGTGAAAAGAAAGCCCGATCAAGGTTTAGGAATTAGTATAACTGTGAGTTATTTTTCAATTATTCTAGATGATTATAAATTATGATTAAATATACATGTAAAAAATGAAAGTTTTGTCCTCTCAACTGATTTTATACGAATAAATTATATATTTCTCTTGTAGGGCGGCAGAGAACATGGAGTTCCCATTCTTATATCGGAATTAGAACCCAATGGACCAGCTGCTGTATCCGAACAACTGTATATCGGCGATGCAATATTATATGTAAATGATATAGATTTGAGAAATGCTTGCCATAGAGAAGCAGTAAGTATTCTGCAACAGCAACAAGGAGATTGCACGTTACAGGTTCAATACATAGCAGCTGACGAAAGTGATAATTCTCTAGAAGAGGATGGTTTTAATTTTAGGTAAGTTTGAGTTTTTTTTTATTTAATTTTTAAAAAAATATAAGCCCAAGATCGACCACAACTTTAGTACCTACTTTGGTGACGTGCGTGCAGAATTTCCCCTTCTTAAGGAAGTGTCTACTCGGTTTAATTCGTACTAATGGGAAATGTCTCGTTAATTTGACTGATGACACCCGATGCGATTATTTTTATAATTAAAAAAACAAATAGAAATATTCTAATAAAAATTGTAAATTTGGAAATTATTGGCATTTAATAAAATTAAGAGCATTGGATAAATACATAACTGAAAAAAATATTTATGAAATTCGATTCGATGATTCTTTTAACTGAATTTAACTGATTATTGCAGCAATCTATTTGTCAATTATTTTACTCAGCTAGAAAAATTATTATTATTATTATTATTAATTATTTATTTTCGTGTTCTCAGCACATGTTGGTATAAATTTTCGCTATCAATATGTATAGCAAGTTGATGGTGCTGTATGTTTAGAGGTGTATACCCTCGATCTTTTTGAGTAGACTATCTTTCGACTCGAGCAATCGCTCTCTTAGTTTTACCTCCTGTGTCCTGCATAGTTTATAAATGTTCACCATTCCTCGGCCACCGTTCTTTCGGGGGAGATATATTCTCTTGACTGATGCATTAGGGTGTAGACATCGAAATTTGGTCATTAGATGACGAGTTAGGCGATCAAGCGATCAAGTCGAAAGTATGCGTTAATCAAATGGTTATTGAATATTTAGAAATTTTCTTGTCATATTACATGTGGATAATATGACAGTTTTTTGGATGGGACGAATCATTTCTGGCATTGATAATGCATTTAAGGTGTAATTCCTGTTGCTGAGAGAACCGCTGATAAAATTGTAACTTTATTGAGACCCCATTGTTCTTTTATTTCTACTGCTAGTTCCCTATATTTGTTTATTTTTGTATTCGTATGGGGTACGGCTACGTCTATTAAGAATGCCCTTTTTTCTATTTTATTAATTAAAGTTATGTCTGGTCTATTTGCTTGAACAGTACGATGAGTAAATAGCGTTCTGTCCCAGAATAATATAACGATGTTGTTTTCCATGACCCTATATTTATATTAAGGGGTGTTGGGATAATAAGAAATTTAGTGCTATTTTCGGGTGCATTATCTTTGCCACCTGGTCATGTCTGACCTTATAGTCTGCTTGTTCTATTCACGGACACCCCGTTGTTATATGGTGGATAGTTTTTTTTGCACTTTTACATCTTCTACAAAGATCATCAGGAACCTTTCGGTCTTTTAGGATGTGTTTCGCATAATACCGTGTTCTGATGACTTGATCTTGAATTGCGATCATAAAACCTTCCGTCTCTGGGTATAGATTTCCACAGCATAACCAATCGTACAACGCTTTTTTATTATTTTTTTTTTGTGTGTCATCGGCTTCAACTGCTAAGGTTATTTCGCCTCGTGTTCTGTGTAGTTTTTGTTACTGTTTCCCAGCGCCACTTTAGGAACAGCACTGTTAGTTAGAACCCAACATTATTATTATTATTTGTTAATTAAATGCTAATTTTCAGTTTCATAATGATACTTATTATAGCACTGGCATTATGAAAATAGAAAAATTGACCAATAGAAATCTAGATTTTTAAATAACCAAGTAAGCAGACCCAATATTTTCTGTAGAATGTTTGACAGTTTCTAAGAGATTCGTGTTTTATGACAGTTTCAATCTTTTGCGTTAGTCAAAAAGGTAGATAGGTACCTGTCACTTATTTTTAAAAAAATGTTGAGCGACGAAGAGTTTTCATGCACACCACCTGAAATCGCTGAAAAAATGATAAATGTATCATCATAGATATTATATTCGTCATTGTGTAGGAATCAAAATTAAGTCGAAGAACTTATTTTTCTTTCATATTTTATTTTTTATTGTTTGTATAAAAAAGTATTAAAAAATTAAAAAAATAAAGCAATGTTGTTGAACTGAAATAGTTTCTTGGTCGTAGAAAAAATAGCGTATGCAACTCTCATGTAATGGCTATTAATACAAGATCATTGCATAATATACTATTGTTTTATTACATAAGTTTTGTTTGTTTTTTATATTGTTGTCTTCTATATACATACATGCATAGAGACAGAGAGCTTTAGCTCGAGGACTCTATTCTTCGACTATTAATGACAAAATTATGTCGAGATAAGTTGTAAAATTTACGAAAAATTTAGTTACAATAAAAATAGGCGCTAATTTATTAAGGTTAAGTTATATTTAATGAGATTAATTCCAGAGCCCTAGATGTTACTCAAATAAATAAATACACAATAAAATAACTATTATTTTCGGTTTATTTTGAAACGTCCCACGAGATATTGGCTTATTATACTCTGACAATTAATATTTGACAGTAGTCGTTATTAAATATTGCACCTATAATCAAGTATGCGAGTTGTTGTCAACATCGAGGAATATCAAGCCCTATGCATGAAGGTCGATATGAGATAGTCATTGAAAATAGTCGATTTATTTGGTTCTGATTGGTTCTAATGATAACATAAATTGCCATGTAATTGTTTAAAATGTCAAAGTTGACAGGCGAGGGAAATAATCATTAATATACACAAGGCTGTTAAATTTCCGTAGCCACCCCCGATTTAAAAAGAAATGAACGGCACATAGTGAACTCAGAGAAAAAGTAGAGTTGGAGAATATCATGATTTTTCAAACACTGTGAACTGTTACAGTGATTAGTCAAATTCAAATAAGTCAGGTTATGTTTACTCAAATCTACAAATTAAATATTTATCTATTAGAGAATGATAGCAAAGTATTGTACTTCCTTTAATAAAGTTTCTCTTATTTTAACATGTACACATGTGCAAATTATTAATTCACTACATCTTTTACGTCGTCTTTTAATGAAATTCTTTTGTTCTGATAGTTTTTTCAGTCATATTGTCTGTCAATATATGACATTTCGATTTTTACATTTCTAACATTACGTTATTTTTTTACAATGTATAATTGTATTTAATTAACTGTCAAATTAAACAAAATGTCATAATAAAGTTCGACTTTTCGGTAGTTTAATTCTAAAACTAAATTACGGGATCTTTTTTTATTGAAAGCAGCATCTGTTTTAATGCTTCAATAACTCTAATATGTTTCTAAAAAACATTTATGAATTTGAAAGAAAAGTATGTACACAAAGTAAGCTTACCGATATTTTTCAGTAGGTAATTAAATGCTTGAGCATGTGAATTTTGTAATTTTTAATTTTATTTTTTTGTTTCACCTTGGTGTTGGGTAGAGGGAAAAATTGGGTATTTATTTTTGAATTTCCAATAAATAATTCACTTAAATAACAGTTCGTGAAATATCGCCCATCTCTATTGAGACATTCATTAAAGTTTACTGATTCATTAACTTACAAATACGTTTAGAGATCATATATTATACAGGGTTGAACAAAAAGATAGGTCATAAATGGAACCACATATTCTGGTGTCAAAAATAACTATTGAACATGACTTACCTTAATATAAATGTACACACAAAAATGTTACATCCCTTGGAAAGTACAAAATAAAAATCGATTTTTTTTCCAATATTTTATGAACTGGTTTAACATTTTGTAATGAAAATGGATGCATGGCTTTCTTATCGTAAGAGCATCTTTTTCACATAAAACCACTGTACAGCCCATAAAAAATTTACGGGGGTTTTGAACCCCTAAAACCTCCCAAACTTTTCTATGCATTACAATTAAATTAGTATTGTGACATCATTGGTTTAATACATCATTTAAAAAAAAAATTGTCTCTTCTTCTGACCTTGGACTTTTGTCTAAAGCTGTTCTTCAAAATTAGTTATTTTTGAATGGGTTTACAATAGTCTAGTATTTGATTCTTCTTTAATAGAACGTTACTATTATTAATATTAGCCACTCTTATTGGAATCAGTCTTCCCATTTGAACTAAACACCTGGCAGCAAAGACTCCATCTTTTTGGAATACTTCCGTCTCCATAATTCCGGTTCTGAAATATTTGAATACTTATGTTCCATTGTCTATTCTATAGGAAAGGTGTAACGTTGGTTCTTAATATATCCTTGCACCAGCAAACTACTACCTTTCTTTTTAACATACTTCAAAAAGGAGGAGGTTCTCAATTCGTCGGAATATTTTTTATGTATGTTCAGCGATAATTTTTTAACACGGTGTCCGATATTAATGATTCTTTTTTTGTTAGGAAGGGGGTACTTCAAGGGTGGTCCCATATAAATTTGGTCAAAATCTAACAATTGGGTCCATAAGAAAAAAAGGACTTTTCTTTACAACCTTTGTACTCAATGTTGATTTTAAGACACAACTTTTTGCTCAGTTTTCCACTAAATCATCCTGTACGCAAGATGTAGTGGGTCTGGTATTGACAATGTTGTCAAATTCTTTTGATTTTAATAGATAGGCGGTATTTCGAACATTTTTATTTTAAGATTTTTTTATTTTTTCATTTTCCCTAAAAGTCATAAAATTTTAATTTCACGTCCAGCACCAGCGCTACTGTGTTTAGGTGAAATTTTGTGGAGGGAAATATTCTTAATATTTCAATTTGATAATTTTTCGGAAAAATGATCGTCGTTTGTTTTTTGACATCATATAGTACTAGTTTTAAAAATACCCTGAATATCACACTGTGGAACGGACGGACAGAATAGTTCCACACATTGGGGTGGTAGAAGCCACTTCCAAAAATAAGATTATCTAGAGACACTTTTCGGCGACAACCAGCAGGCTTTTTGATTAGTTAAGAGACAAGTCCTGCTCCTGAAGGATACACAATGGTCCTAGAGGGGCGTAAGTGTTGTGGAGGCAACCCATCCTCCCCCATCATCTACATTTAATTTCTTTAAATCTACTATATTCAGTATTGCATTTTTTTAGATTTTTCGATGAAAATGTTTGTGATACTAACAATGCAACTAACTATAAAGTGACTGAAGAGATAGTTATCACCCCTACAGCCCCTAGGACGCCAGAATCAAGTTCTGGTAGTAGGTGAGTCCAAATGACAATTGACGAAGAACTCTGTATATAGTATTATACAAAAAAAAACTATTTGCATGAAATTTATGCAGTATTTTTATTCCTTATTTTTTATATTATATTCTGTTATATGTGTTTGATTTTTGATATTTATAATTTCTAGAGTAGAGCGTAAATCAAACTCAGTTTTTATAAGATCTCTGTGTGCTTTTTATTTGTATTCCAAGAATGTGCTATTTTTCTTTAAATATGTTAGAATATAATTTTGTTAGCTTTATGTATATTTGCATTCCAAATGTAAAAAAAATACAAACAAAGGATATAAAATAAATATTTTACAATTTTTTTGAGTTATATTACACACTTTTATTTCAGCCTGTTACCATCGCATGTTTTTTCTCCACGTGAATGCATGTATCAAAGCACCGTTCAACATTAGACCGCATGTTAAACTACTAATGCTTTAACAATATTTTAGGTCATCCCGACAAAACGTCTTAATCAGCCCCGAACAAAGAAGTTCGGGTTATCACATTAAAACTCGAGAATTGCAAAATTTCCAAAACATTTTCAATGGAAACAGTGATAATGGAAACACGCAAACTTACAAAGATACCAGGCAGATCATATCGAATAATAAATCCAATAATAACCAATCGCCAGAAAGCATGACTAAAATCTTGACAACAAATAACGTTTATAACGTCGATACCAATGATTTGGTACTAATCGATAATGTTACGAACAATATTATCAAACTGGAAAACTTCAAGAAAGTCGACGTTTTATCGACGATAGACAACAACTACAACACTTCGACGAATTCTTTAAACTCCGAAAACCTTTCTTCGCCTATGCAAACCAGCACCGACATTTACCTTGATTCTGAAATCGTTTCGACGGACATAGCGTCCAATGATTCCCAATCGCCCAAAATTCTGCAAACCGAATCGTTTGAAGCCAAATTCAGTTACGAAGATAGCCTGGTAAGCGTCAGTAAAACCGAAGAAAATTTTACAAGCCAGTTAAAAAAATACATTTCAAACGATAGTTTATCAGTTGCCAAAAGCGATCAGAGTTTGTTGAACTCGGAAGATAGCTGCGGTAGTTCGCCCGTACACAAACCCGGTAGAGATTACAAAAAGCAGAAGAAGCACAAGAAAAAGTATTTCGGCGTTAAGACGTTGCAAAGTATTTTTAATAAACACGATGGTTATTCCGATATTTCCACTACGGCATCGGAATTCGGCGATGATCCTCCTCAACCTCGACAAGAAATAAAGAAGCTCGAACCCGAACCTCATGTACAAAAATACTCTGATATGAGTCCACATTTCGAAGAAAACATACATAGTCTGCTTTCGGATATCTTCGTAAAACACTTTCCTGTGATGAGCTCGGAACAAACTGCTAGCCTAAATTTAAACAGAGCCGTAGGTACAAAAAAGTATTTTTCGTTGCACGGGCAGAACTTGAGGGTTGGTAAAGCCCTGCGTTTGTGCCCTAACGAGGAACTGGTGGACAATGATAGTGAGCAGAAAAAGGAGAAACTTCTGGCGAGGTATGTTTATAATTCGAATTCTCTAAGTGCTGATGGGGTCGGAGATCCCGATTTTGGCACGCCCGTTTGAGGACAGTAGGTAAAAGATATATTAGGTACTTATTTTTAATTCGTAAAATTAAAAGATAATACGTACACTTAGTGGAGAGTTTATATAAAAGAAAAACTTCATTGCTTCTTAAATAACTTTAAAATATTTGTAATAAGTAATTATTGCGTTAAGGGGACATTCTACTTTGCTGGAAAATTTGTAAACCCAGTTTTTAATTTTTAATGGTTTGAGCATTTTTGTAATTTATTCCTTTCTGTTCACTTTTTTTGGTGATATTAGACAATTTAAGTAATAGTCCAGGATTCGTAAGTAAGGTCGACCTTCACCCATGTGTTTAATGGATAAAAGTTTTTTTTTATTAAATAAAAAATATGTTTTTAAATATATCGCAAATGGGTTGCCTAAGAAAATACGATCACGGCAATTTTTTATTTTCCTTTCTGTATACAGATAAGGAAAGTATAGGAATCATGATAAAAGTTGCTTATGATGTCATTCTCTATTATTTTGTCCCTATACATGATTTCCCTAAAATGGACCTAATTCGAGAAAAGTGCAAATTTCGAATTTTGAAGATAACTCAAAAACGGATGAAGAAAAAAAGCCAAATTTTAAACTTAAGCTTTAATCCATCCTGCGGTAAGCTGATTAAAGTTTGAGCATAGTTGAAGCAACTGGGGAATACACAGGGTGTCGTTTTTTTAAATAAATAGTTTGAAACGTATTTGTTTAGGCAACCGATTTGCGGTATATTTATAAACATATTTAATAAAAGAAACTTTCATCCATTAAACATATGGGTGAAGGTCGACCTTACTTCGGATCTTAGACCATAATTGTTTTGTTAAATTTTACACAAACATACACTAAACTAAACATGTGTCTTTTATATTTTGACATTAACAAACGAAACATATTATGGTTACATAAAATATGTCACAGCGGTCAATCAGATATCGGATTTTTTTTTTTTTTTTCTAAAAATCAATACTACATTTAAGTATGATGTGCTGTAAAACAATTTTTGCAAAGAAGCAGTTGACACTTTCTGCATATACGAGCCCTAACAAGCGCGTAGCTAGGTTATTTTTTTGGGGGGGAGGGGATAACACATTGGTGAATGCACAGAGTGAGTTTTATAATGAAGTTTTTAATTTTTTATATATTTATACAGGATGTTTGAGGATAAAGTACCGTAATTTTGGGTATTTGTAGATCTTAATCAATTATAAAGAAAAGCTAAATATAATTTTCCTATAAACGCCCCAGTTTTCATTGTACAGGGTGATAAAGTGAATTTCATAAATACATATTTTCTAAATATCTTTCTTTACAGTAAAGATTTTAACACACTATTTCGATAAATTTTCATAACCCTTTGACGTAGAATGAAGGGCCAAAGAAACAATTTTTTTCAAAACTTTTTGAACACCCTACATTTCATAAAACTTACGATTAATAAATATTTCTCACGCCATTTGTCACAAAAAAGGGACTTCTGGTTGATCTTTGTAGACCATTCCATTTTCGAGGTGATAGAACTGATTTATTTTATACAGTGTGTTTTGAAATATGGCTAATTTTAAGTTTAATTTACTCAATTTTGTCAAATGCAAATATTATTTTCGCATAAAATTCCTTATAAATTTACCTATCCAACGATACCAACATGTCCCAATAGTACGTAATTGTTCGATAGCTGTTTTATTATTGGAAATAGGAAAAACAAATTAATATAAAAGTTGTATGATCATGTTTAATAAATATTCTTAAATATACAGGGTGGTCCATAAACGAGGGGCTGACCAAACTTATACATTTTTATATTTGTTTTCACATCGTCAAACAATTTTATTTGCTATGATGTATATAGGGTGTTTTAAATGAGGGGTAACGATTTTCTCATTTTTTAAAATGGAATACCCTATATGTCATACCACCAATTAATTAATATAGGGTATTCCATTTAAAAAAATTGATAAAATCGTAACCTCACGTTTTTACACACCCTATATGTTATGTTGGGAATGGGGTGTTAATACACTGCGACCTAAAAGATTTATGACACACCATATATACAACATAGCAAATGAATGAAGTCAATTAAAATTGTTTGACGATATAAAAACAATCAAATATATATTACTACCTGCAGGGTGTTTTGCTTGTATAGATTTGGTCAGCACCTCGTTTATGGACCACCCTGTATATTTAAGAATATTTCTTAAATATGTTCATACAACTTTTATGTTAAACATTTCCTCCTATTTCGATTAATAAAACAGCTATCGATCAATTATGCACTGATAGGACATGTGGTATTGATTAACACATTGGTATTGTTACATAGGCAAATTTATAGGGAATTTTATGCCAAGATAATATACAGTGTGTTGCGTTTGAAAAAATTGAGTAAATTGAACTTAAAATTAGCCATATTTAAGACATGTTTCAAAACACTCTGTATAGAATAAACCAGTTGTATCATCTCTATTCGTTAACTTAGTATTTTATAAGTCTGCATTCATTTTGAAATTAATGTAAACCTACCTAAATTATGATAATTTAATTTGGGGTCTAAATCATTCTCTAATTTAAAAAAAAAAATTGTTTGGCAACACTGCAATATTTTTTAAAAACATACATTTTTATTTGTCAGGCAAAACGCAACACCCTGTATATCCAAATATATTTTTAAAATATGTATTTTTCAAATCCACATAACTTTTATTAAAACTTGTTTGCACTAATGGGACCCTGTATATAAATTTTAATTTTCAATTTGCAGGAAGGAATATTATTATTTTAGATGACAAAGTTTGAGAAACTCTTTGTTTTATTGTATTTATTTTATCTCTCTATTTTTGTTTAATATAACGTTTAAGAAAATATTGATGTTGACTATGGCTTGGGGGGTAATTAGCCCCATTATCCCCCTTATATACGCCCTTGAGCCCTGACAACTGTATATTCGGACTGCGTATGAACTGTTAAAAAAAAGTTATTTCTGTACCAAAGCCGTAAAGTTGATATTTTTTTGGCCGAATCAGAAATTACGGCCTAGGCGTAGCCGAGGCCAAGCAAATTCTGGTTAGATCATAAGTCCAAGGTGCATACAACATTTTTTAGGCAACTGTCTCATCAAGAAAAGCCAATATTTTTTTTTTACTTTCTTGTTTGTCAAAAGAGGCTTAATTGCAAGAATTGTTTCAAATTTTTATTGATTGAATAAAAATTCATCGTTAACTAATAAAATTTGTACAGAATTACTAACCTGTGTTTATAAAAAGCGGTCGTAAAGTTAATGCGGCCAAAAAAGTGACACCTTAAGGATGTTAATAAATCCGTAATATTTCATATTTTGTTACAGTCTAAAAAACATGTAAAAATGAAATAGAACCACAAAATCTGTACCACATATAGTTAAATAGCATATACAAAAATAGTGTAAAATCACTTCAAAAATTCCCATGGTGTGCAGCAAAACATTAACACAAAAACACAGGTATGTGTTGTACTTAGTTGTTGCAATAAAATTACTGAATATGTGATAGGGGTACCCTAAATAAGGTACAAATATGCAATACATGTGTTTGAAATATTATTCCATTTTATTTTAGTTAAATTCATTTATCAATTAATTTTGCAAATTTTACACTTTTCGTATATGTCTGATGATGGTTAGGTTGGCCGA